GGGCGGGGGGGGAAGTGACTAGTCAACTAGCCTATCGACTAGTCCTTAACATCCCTAGCTGTATGCATGAGAGAAAGCATAGTACTGATGCTGGCCTTTTGGCAGGCTGGCTTGTTGGGATTATCACAGTGTACGGTAGAAAGTTGTTCATGGGTATGTGACATGGGTCCCCACCATGGGAACTTTAAAAAGGTGACCCCTTCCGTCCAGTGGGATTATAACAGTGTACGGTAGAAAGTTGTTCATGGGTATGTGACATGGGTCCCCACCATGAGACAGATGATGGACAGTTTCCTGAGATCTGACTAGGCACCCCCAGACTGGGCAACAAAGGGGGATACAGGTGCAGTAACCCTGAGATTGTGACAGTGCTGTCTTCTATGGATGAAGTGCTTTTGGCCATAGTCAAAGCATTAAAAAGCATTGTTTCTCAACCAAAACCAAAAAGATGCATTCCCTGCTTCTATAACAGATACTGGGCAAGGAAAATTTTCCACCACTGCTTCAAACTAATCAGACAATCTTTTCACTATTTGCCACGAGTTAGAGGAATGGGAGAATAAAAGAGGTCCTATTGTGTTTTTACTACACAGTGACATAAGACATTTCTTAAAAAAAAAAACATACACATTACTAATATAATATTAACCTTCTTAATTCTAAAGCATCATTCTGGTGATTAGAGACACTAAAGAAATTTCAAGTGTGTGAAGATAAAGCAAATTATTACCTTTTCATACATCAAAACTCAAAATGAAATATGCAGATCCTGAGTAATATCCCACTGATGATTAATCCAAGAGATGCTGAAACTAATCCTGAGAGGTACTGAAAAGTCATAACTTCCATTTATTTCAATGGGATTTGCAGAGTCTCAGAAACGTTCTAGGATAAAGCCACTTAAGTCTAATCATGAACCAGTGAAATTAATCTAAACTTTTGCCATTTATGTCAGTGAAAGCAGACTTATCCCTGAGTTATGCATTTTTTAAATGGACCATCTTTAGCAATCTATAGCATACCAGGAACCAAGTAAAATTAACTGAGGAATTTAGACTTACTTGGCAGCATGAAAGAGACTGGATGCAACGGAGCCAAAATTAAGGATACACAACATAAAAATGATAGGCAATTTATATATATATATAAAAATAATTTACTAAAAGATTAAACAAAGTGAATTATCATCTAAATAAGAATCCCAAATATAACATTTATACAGTTCTAAAACTAATCTGATAAGTGTTCATGTTAATTTTGTTTTAGTTAAAAGTAAGGGCCAAGCAAAATTCAACATATCCAAATATGAAAATGCTGAAGAAACTAGATTACACTCAACTATTTGAAGAATTTTGGGGGTTATTACATTGTGTTACTGTTATGTCAGTTAATCTTTTAATGTATATCATACATTTCTAGGCACTGTGTGGCAAAAACCATCGAAATGATTAAATAAAGAAGTTATTCCCTAAAGTACATTTCTTCAATTTAAAAGCCATGTTACTAATTAACAAGGAGGAGATCCCTTCTAAGTCACCTACTTGCAGAAGGAAAAAACACACCTCCAACAAATCCAGGGACTAAATCCAGGAATAGAAAGCAAGCACTAGAATCTGCTAATACAATAAATAATAGCTAATGCTAAGTGCCTGACCATCACAATCACAGACCAACCCCACGGTGCTAAAGACTGGTCAAGCAGAACAAGAAGATGGTTCCTACTCCATAAACCTTCTTGTTTTTCATTCAGTAGAACAAGCCCCCATGGAAACATACTTTTAAAACAATTTAGAAGTTAGCTAAAAGAAATCTTTTAATATTTAGTCTGTTTGTCTCTTACATCTTTCTACACCACCCACTCCCTCAGCCCAGTTCCGATTGCTAAACACTTATTCAATTCTTTGAATACTGAAACCATCAGTGAAAAGATACGCCTTATTACACACATGTGCTTCAGCTTCCCTCAAATAGGCATCCTTTGCCTGGTCAAACTGTTTGGCATTTTTAAAAGCAACACCTGCAAAGAAGAATTAAAAAAAAATCTTAAATTATGACATTTTCCTTTTTTCCATCTACTGTTAAAGACACAAGTGACCAGATTTTTAAAAAATATTTTAGCCATCTAAAATGCAGATGTAGTTAGATTTTCAAATGGGCATCAGCTGCACAGACACTTCTAAAAATCTTTAAAAATATGCCTCAAAGAAAGTAATTAAATTATTTATTAATTTATTATACCTTATATCAAGGCACATAAGAATCGCTCTTAGATTATTAGTACTGTCTCCCTCTAAAAGATGTAGTCTAATTGGCTTGTCACAATAATCAGTCCCTCTTCTCAGCTGCATCCTTGACCTTTAATATTCTTTCCATTCACTGATCACTAATAATGTTAAAACGTTTCTTATTTTAAGGTTCTAAAACATTAGAAGTGATGCCTCATTTCAATTTCCCTTCTAAATCAAGATCCCTATCAACAACAAAGTGCATCTGCAATAAATACCAACTTTCATAATTAGTTCTGGGTATAGTACAATATAAAAACTCCTCACTAAAAACCAGCTAAGGGGTACTAAAAGGATTTTAAAAGTCACAGCAGATTCAGTTTAAGTGGACAGCACAATTAAAAAACAAAAACAAAACAAAAAAAAAACCCCACACACACTTTTTTTCCAGTTGCTATTGATGACTTACAAAAAACAAGGATTTCAAGTTGAAACTCTTAACCAGGACTCTCTGGTTCAGAAGGACCACATGTGTTGCAGAACCAGAGAGCCCCGGTGGAGAGCTAGCACCCGGGAGCCCTGCAGGGTGGCAGGGAAGCAGGAGCCTGATGTGTAGCAGCAGGGCAGTGAGTCCCACACGCAATAGTGGGGCTATCCAATAGGGCAGCAGAAGCCTGGCATGCAGAGGCAGCGGGGCTGCCCAGCGTGGCAGCAGGAGCTGGTCCCTGCAGTGAGAGCCTGATGCACAGAGATGGTGGGTCTGCCCGGCATGGCACCAAGAACCCAGTGTTCAGAGGCAACAAGGGCTAACGGAGCAGAAGGGGCCAGCGAAAGAGAGGAATTGACCAGGAGGCCAGCGGCTGGACCAGGGCTTGTGGCAGGGAGGCCAGAAATGACCTCCTCTGGTCTGGCAAAATCCCTTATCCAGGACCAGTTAGGTCCTGAGGATGCCGCACCAGGGAGGTCCAACCTGTAGTCTAAAAAGAGGACAAAGAATAAATAAACTCAAAGTCACAGCTGCAGAAGTTTCTGCTATTTACTTCTAAGCGGCATTAGAAGTTTCCCTTCCACACTCAAAGTCCAATTCTATAGCTATGCCTTGCAAGGACCTCTCACTGAAGACAATAGGGAATCCTATTGCATGGACACACAGACACCAAATCAATCCCCTACTTACAAAAAGAAAAGAGAAAGAGTCTAACTATTCCTCACAATAGGAGTTCTAAAATTTTACTCAAAAGTCCATTAACTCTGTGTTCAACTGTAATTTGCATGCAAGATATCTGAAATTATAATCTGGACCAAGATTCAGTTTACATTCTATTAGTTCTAATCACTTCAAATAACTATTTAAATCCCTAAGCACAGTTTGAAATGTAAAATTAAAAAGATATTATTATTTTACTCACTGTCCTCATAGTCACCTATACATTTACAGACAATGCTTAAAATGACATTTTAAATATTTAAAATTAAATTACTGGAATATTTAAATCTATGAAATGCAATCTGATATATATAATCACACGTACCTGCCTTCGCATATTCAGTAGCTGCACTATCATAGTCTGGTTTCCACTTTAAGAATCCAGTTTTCAGGCTGAAATGCAAAATAAAAAAACCTATCAACAATGAATGAAAGTTTAAAATAAACTCTTCTTCCTGCTGTCAACATATATGATTTTGTTGCTGTTGTTTTAAGAAGAAGCAATGAAGGAGGAAGAGGAGACAGGCTTGCAAGGGGTCATTGCCTCCCACCCAGGGCTGGCTCTAAGCACCAGCAAAACAAGCAGGTGCTTGGGGTGGCACATTGCCAGAGGCGACATTCTGGCCAGAGAAGAAGCAGTCAGGGAGCCCCACGGAAGCCGCCCCGAGCTGGGAGTCTCGTGCCTGGCTGCTCGGAGCCTGTTTCTGGCCCCAGGAGCTTTGGCCCCAGGAGCTTTGTTCTTTCCCCTGCAACTTCCCTGCCTGTGAACCCCCCTTGCCCAGCTGTCCCTCTCCCCCGCCTGTGTGCCCCTGCCCACTGTCCCGCGACCCCCATCCATCTCCGCTCACTCTTCTCTTCCTCCGGCTCGGCCTCTGCCCAGCAACCCCGCAGCACCTCCTGGCCCACTACAACTCTGCTGGGACCCCTTCTCCTCTTCTCCCCCTCACCTCCACCCTCACCCCACCTCTCTGCTGCCCACCTGGATCCCCATCTCCTGTCTGGGCCTCTAAACATTCCCCCACCACCACCCCATTCTCTGGGCCCTGAACCCTTCTCTTCCCGCCCCGCCACAAATCCAGCCCCCTGACCACCTAACCCCTGTCTGGGACCCAGGTGATTCTCCCTCCCGCTTTGGCTGTGGAAAGAGAACTCTGGTGTTCCCAGTGCCCATATCCCCAAGTGCCTTCCTGTCTGGGACTAGAGAGCTTTATTCAAATTAGAATTGTGATCCCATTTAAATAGGTTTTGTTTTAAATAATATACCTTTACAATTAAATTAAAAATTGTTATGGCCTAAGTTTATCATAACCTATTTAAATAACTTATGAAGTAATTTTAAAAAGTAAATAGAACATGTCTCCTGTCAACTTTTAAAGAAATTCTACCAGTTCACTAGTGTAAGTTGCTGTGTAGCACCCAGAACCAGTGTTTACATCAGCAGTAGCTTCTTTTGCAGGTGAAGAGAGAATGTTTTTATTACTTTGGTTTAATCAGCTAGTTTGATTCAATGATTAGTTCATTCACCGTTGCAAAACCGCGAGTTGACGAAGCAGAAAAACTTGTTTTCCTCTTCTCTCAGTAAAAAAATGGTTAGGAGAGCGTTGTAACATCTTGAAGAATATGATGACTAGATTTGATCTGTTAAATTCACTAAGGATATTTCCTTTGTTTAATAAATGAATTTTAGATGCAAAACGTGTTTGTATACTTGTTATGTGTCCTTCACATTTAAGGTAGTTTTATTTCATACAAAAATTAAATGCTGGTTTTATTTTAAATTGAATTTCCATCCAGAAAGAAGTAGGTGCAAATCATGTTTTTTAAAAAGTAGCCACTACTTAGCAAATAATAAATGGGGTAATCTCCTAAGGTGTTCCTATTATACACCATTTGTAATAGAATAAAAATGTAAAAATTAAGAATCTGATTACATGTCAATTACACAATTATTTGGGCATTTATTTAGTTGGTAGCTGCACTGGGTATATTCTCCTGGTTAGTAAATAGAAGCACCACATTTGGCAAAAAGGTTATATTTAGTTGTAAATCAACATGTTTTAAAGGTTGCTAATTAATAAGACTCAACCATCCTTTAGGAAAATATTTTAAAAGTATAATTTAAATGATTAATTGCTCATTTAAACCAAGGTTTTCTGCTTGCCTGTTTAAATCATGATTAAAAATTATATATTTAAATCAAAGCTATTTAAATCAATCTACCCTGCTTCAGAGGCTGTTTGGTCCATCCCTGAAGGAGAAAACACAGGGCTGCACTCATGGAATAGGTCCTAGGCTAGTGGGGTTTTGTTGTCTGGTGCCTGTCTTGTTCTAGAAAGTTGAGCTGGGGAGTTGAAACAAAAGTTCTCTTAGTCCCTTTGAACTGTTTCAATAATAATTAAAACATGCTTGTAAGTTTCTTATTTCTACATGAAGGTATATTTCACACTCAGCTTCTGTAGCCAGTGCACCCAAGCTATTTGTGCATTTCTGTGCTTGCCTGTTTAAATCATGATTAAAAATTATGATTTAAATCAAAGCTATTTAAATCAATCTACCCTGCTTCAGAGGCTGTTTGGTCCATCCCTGAAGGAGAAAACACAGGGTTGCGCTCATGGAATAGGTCTTAGGCTAGTGGGGTTTTGTTGTCTGGTGCCTGTCTTGTTCTGGACAGTTGAGCTGGGGCGTTGAAACAATAGTTTGAACTGTTTCGTATAGCGAGGCTGATTCTTGTCCATGGACACCAGCCATGGAGCCATGTACATTAGGCTGACCAGCAGGGGAAAATGAAGCCGTGATTTAAATAATCGCGGCTTCATTTAAATTTAAATGGCTGCCGCGCTCTGCCGTCCAGCTGATGATCAGCTGTTTGTCGGCAGATCAGGGCAGTCTGGACGCGACGCTGTCGACAAGGAAGCCTTTGTCGACCAGCACAGGTATGCCTCGTGATTAGTTAAATGAGATTATTTTAATCGCGACTTAATTTCCCTCTGCTGAGGGTTCCATCAACGGAGCCATGTAGTTAAGACACACCCCAAGAGTTGGACAGCTTATGTGTTGGGGTTGGAGTCTGATTATAAGGCTTCTAATAATAAAATCCCTTTGCAGAGTGAGGAGTGGGACCGGGACTCTAGCACGAGGTGATGTGAACAGTTGCATGCTTCGGAAGTCTTTAACTGACTTGCTGTGGATGAACCTGCCCTCCCGGGCTATGTCTAGACTGGCAAGATTTAGCGCAAATACTCTAAACTCAAGAGATTTTGCGTTAGAGTATTTGAGTAAGAGAGTGTCTACACTGGCATGTGCCTTTGCGCAAAAGCGTCCGTGCCAGTGTAGACGCTCTCTTGCGCAAGAAAGCTCCGATGGCCATTTTAGCCATCGGGCTTTCTTGCGCAAGAAATTGATGTTACCTGTCTACACCAGCCTCTTGCGCAAGAACACTTGCGCAAGAGGACTTATCCCTAAGCGGGAGCATCAGAGTATTTGTGCAAGAAGCATTGATTTCATACAGTAGAACGTCAGTGTTCTTGCGCAAATACTCGCGGCCAGTGTAGACAGGCGGCAAGATTTTTTGCAAAAGCAGGTGGCGTGGGCAGTGTAGACAGGCGGCAAGATTTTGTGCGAAAGCGGCTGCTTTTGCACTAAATCTTGCCAATGTTGACACAGCCCCCATTGTCCTCTCATGGGGAGTCCCTGGAGCTCTCCTAGGAGATGAAAATGCCCTGGGGTTTGGACTCCCCTCCAGAGCATACCTCCCACTCCCCAGGAAGCCTCACAAGCTGCATTTGCACACGCACGCACCCCCAGAAAGCCACACAAACTGCATTTGCGCATGCAACCTCCCCAGACAAAAAAAAGGGGGGGGGGGAGGGCATAGCAGAAATTTATTTTGCTTGGGGTGGCAAAAAGCCTAGAGCCAGCCCTGCTCCCACCCTCTTTGACAGCTTCAATGGACACCATCCTCACCCATCCATGTGAGATACAGAGAAAGGGGAGAGGACTGCTAGACACTATGGGTGAATAAGCAAGGACCAAATAGTTGGGCCTCACTGCCCCATCTGATCATACTCTGAACAGGTACTTAGACATTTCTGGACATTCTGTAACTTCACCCTCTCTTTTCAGGATAAGACTTATTTCTGATGCATGGGCAGTTTGGAATGAAAATATTTTTACTTAGCAATAGTGGAGCAATTTGCTTCAGTGTATAGGTTTTGGCATTAAAAGCTAACTACAGTAAACTTTGGATAATCCGGCACCTTTAGGACCTAGGGGGTGCCGGATTATCAGATATGCCGGACTATTGGAAAGGGGGAGAGCTATGAAGGGTCTGGGGTGGAGTAGGGGGGATGCACCCCTTGGCACTGCGGGACCAACCCGGCAGTACCTCAGCTGCTCTGCCCCAGGCTTCCCAGAGTCAGCCGCTAGTCAGTTTCAGCAGCGGCTGAATTGGGGAAGCCCGGGGCAGAGCAGCTCCAATTGTCCAGCACTTCCGGGTTCCAGATGGTGCCAGACCATCAGGAGTGCCGGACCATTGGATGCCGGACCACTGGAGTTTTACTGTAACATGCTGTATTTGACAGTTTATGTTGCCTGCCAACAGAAGGGGTGTGATGGTGTTAATGTTTAAACTGTTAACCTATGAGCCTAATTGGTTAACTTCATGGCTATGTAAAAAGCCCCCCCTCGTCCTACTGCTTCTGTATCAACAGCAGCATCGGGGACAGGCAGGAAGCCAGTGCCTGCCCTCTCCCTGTATTGCTGCCTCTGACACAGAGGCAACAGTGGAAGGGAGGGGAAGGAGAAGGTGCCATCAGCTTTGTGGGAGCTAGTACACGCAGGGAACCATCTTAAAAGTTGGCTCCCCTCTGCCCCCCTGTGTTCCTGCCTCCATATTCCTAGCCTACAGCAATGGTTTTCAACTCTCTCTCATTTGAAGACCCCGGAAAAAGATTTGAATGGAGATGTGAAGTCCTTTGGAAATCTTAAACAGTCTGCAAACTCCAAGGGACCCACCGGTAAAAAACCATTGGTCTACAATATTTTGTCTCTCTTGGCACTTAAATCATAATGTCTTTTGGAGCAATGATTACATTGAATGCATTTATACCAGGATGGGCAAAGGGCTTTCTGCGGGCCCCCTGCTGCTCTCCCTTCCTCAGGCCAACCAGGGCCTGGGGACGGAGGAGCATGCAGTTTCCTCGCCCCCACAAAAGCAGACAGCAGCTAGAGACACACACCAGCTGTTTTAAAACAACCACATTTATCTCTAGCTGCCGCACACCTTTGTCGAGAAGCTTTGCGTATTCCCTGCCCCCAGGCCAAGTAGGGTCTGGGGGCGGGGAGCAAGCAAAGTCTTTCATGTCCTGTCCCTGTCCTGCCAGGGGAGTGCGGCTTCTAGAGAGACACACCAGCTGTGTCTCTATAGCTGCCATGCGCTCTAGCGGGGGCAAGTAGACTTCACATGCTTCCCCACCCCCAGGCCCTGATTGGCCTGGGGGCAGGGAGAGTGCACAAGGTCACCTTCTACTGGGCGCCTAAAGGGAAACCACCAGCTGTTTTAAAACAGCTAGCATTTCTCTCTAGGAGGCAGGGCAGGAGATGGAGGGGGAAGACTTCTCACACCCTCCCACCCCAGGCCATCTGGGGAAGGAGCACAAGAAGTCTCCTGGCTCTGCACCTTCCAGGATGGCCCCCTTTTAAAAATTATTGCCCACCCCTGATTTATACTATACTGTTCTCAGCATAACAGTACTAATATTAGTTGGTGGCCTTCTGGTGCCATTATTGTATACATGAACAAGCAACAAAAGCAGTTATGTGGAAACGCTTGGCTTTCAAAATAAGTTTGCTGTGAGGACAAGTTCACTTAAAACTGCTTGAGCAAAATCCAGTCCCAAGTTTCCTTTCCAGTCTATTTCTGATGCATTTCTCCTTCATCTCATTTCTCTCATTCACCTGCCTCGGAAGCGCCACTCCGCGTCTCTTTTCTTTCGCTCAGCCTCCTAGCCTGGGTCTCACATTCCCGGGCAGTGGGGGAGGCTTCCCCGAGGTGTGAACCCAGCGGAGGGGCCCGTCACTGCCTCGCTCTCCCTCGCTGTCACCGGGTTTGCGCGCACAACAGGCTGGGGGATCAC